AAGAAACAACAGTTCCAAATTTAGACACTCAATTCATCCAAGGTGAGAACTATGCAAAATCGGGTGGCTAAAGGCTCCATAGATCTAAAGTTCATATATGTATAACAAGTTTAGGGTCTTGTGAAGAATAACACTTAATAAATCATGTTGTGTTTCCTTAAAGTAGCTTATGTATATAGCATGTGTTTTATAGTTCATAACATCAAAATTTAGACATGATAGGACAAACATAATATGAATTTATAAACGGGAAAAACTTGCAAATGAAAAATTACCTTTAGTTGCGAGCTATATATAGCCAGAAAAACTTGTCCCTTACACGAAAGTTGAAGTTTAAAACTTTGATTGTTATCGTTGAGTCGGAGTTGAAACGATATGTATATAGCCACTGTATTAATTTCTAATTCTAGTTGCTATATTTTGTAGGTTTGAGAGCTTTTTTAAGATGAAATGCTATATGGCCAGATATCTATATAAATAGAATGAAACAGTGAGAGAGTGAGTGTAGAGTTAGTGAAACTATTGTTACATGCTGCCAAGTTTTCATGTGAGCTGGTATGGTCTTTCACGCGAATTAAGGATAATCCTCTTATATAATTTAATTTCAATATATTATCTTTTATTATGTATGGCATGGCGAAGAGATCTTAACATTGCGTTTATACTAATATCGATTATTACTAATTTATATTTATTGTTATTTTATTTATTTGATTATTTTTACTGCGTAACAATCAAAACATGGCAACATGCGAAGAGATCTTAACATTGCTTTTATACTAATATCGATTATTACTAATTTATATTTATTTGATTATTTTTACTGCAATCTGATTAACGTAACAATCAAAACATCGGATTAGGTTTGCGTAACAATCAAAACATGGCGAAGAGATCTTAACATTGCTTTTATACTAATATCGATTATTACTAATTTATATTTATTGTTATTTTATTTATTTGATTATTTTTACTGCAATCTGAGTAATCGGATTAGGTTTTCCTCACAGGAGTGTGTGTTGGTTGTACAACTCATGCACACGCGTCGATATAAGGATGGTTGTGTCAGTAATATTGGCCCATTCTTTTACACGTGTACTCGGGTACTAAAATTTACGTAGATAAGGCAAGTTCATAAAATAATAAATTAATTTTAAAAATTATATTATTTTCTTCTCCTTCTATCATAGGTTTATATTAGTGTTACATATTTATATTAAAATAAACGATTCATATATCATAGGTTTATAGTGTTACATATTTATATTAAGATAAACGATTCATATAAAACTTTCAAAACATTTCAAAATATTACAGAAAAATGTAACAACTTACATCTAAATTTATTAAAATTAATATTAAAATAAATAGTTTGCTAATATTCTCCAACATATTTTACTTAACAGTTGAAGAGACGTTATATTTAAGAATATATATAATATATTGATTTAATCTTATATTTATGATTTCAATTTGACACTTATGTTGTTACATATAAAAAGTTAAATTACTTATTGTATATATGTATTTATATAACAAGGTCTTTGAAAATGATTAGCTAATATCCCTACATCATAGTGATCACTTTTTAACCCCGAATATTAAATTGTTTTATTTATAATTAATATTAATTCACGTTACTTAGTAAAACAATTATATTGATTAATTTCTTGTTTCAACTATTTCAAGCTGAGAAAGATTAATTCACGTTACTTCGTAAAACAATTATCTAATTGAGATAATTGAGATTTTTTGGGTTCCTAAAATCTTTCATGTCCTAATTATCTCAATTAGATATGTTGGGCTGCCATTTATGAGATATGTTTTAGTAAAATAAGGGCCTGGTCCATTAACTATCGTCTAGAAAAAAAGGGACTGGTCCATTCAATAATGGCCGGGCCCGGTTGCAGTTAACGAACCCAAAAAAGTACACACATTTTTGTAGATACTTATAAAATCGATTGATTGAGAAAGAATCTCACTTGTCAATTACATAGATGCTATTTAAAAAATTTATATTGAAATTTTTAAAAATGTAGGAGATAGTTTTTTTTATTTAAATTTCAAATACTTCTTATAAAATATATTATTATTTATTTTAAAATAAGATTTTTTACTTGCTTTATTTGCCCGTTTTATATTATAATAACCTTTGTCATTCATATGCAATAAAATTATTATTGACGACTGTTTGAATTGATATATAGTTTTACTAATTTATAATTAATATTAGTAGATGATTTAATTTTATAATAACAAAAAATAAATTTATTTATTTATTTTATATATGTAGTATAAATATAAAATCGAAGCTCGTCAAAACATAATTAATGTAATATATTATTCAAGAAAATTTGATAACAAATAAAAAAGTTATTAACTTTAAAAAATATTCATAATCTAAGCAAATAAATGTTCTATACTTTTAAAATAGAGTCCAGGTCTACATGGGCTTCTCCTAATCACACCCATGTAAGGTGCTAATAAAAAAATCATAATTAAATTTAAAAATATAGAAAGTCAGTCTTAAATCACTTACAAACTTATTATTTTTTTAAATGATACTTATCACTTGCTAGTATTATAATAATTATTTTTTATTTCCTTACATATTAATTTTGTAAGTTATATTATTTAAAAATTTAATATATGAATTTATTTAACAGATAAATAATTTTATTATTCGTCAATCATTATTGATATATAATTCAATTTTTATTATAAAGATAAATACACATATTAATTATTATATGCAATGTATATGTTAAATCGAAGGTTGTTATGAGACTTTGATATCGTATATAAAAAGTTGATAACAAATACAAATGCTATTAACCTTCAAAACATATGTTTAGTTTAAGTTGATTTAAATGTTTTATAATTTTAAAAGTACTAATAGAGTTCCAGATCAACTTGTACTTTTCCGCATATGCGATTACGAATCACCAGAATTCGATTACGAAGCATCAGGAATCATCAAAAATCGATTACGAAGCATCACGTAGGATCAGAACATCCTTAATTAATATAGAGATACTATTTTAATTAAAATCATGAAAACGCTTATTTATTTTATTCTCTCACGAGTTAATCTAATTTGCTAAATTGATTTGCCAAGTGAATTAATCGAATGATGTGTTACCGAAATTTGGACAATTGATTTTAACAATACTTGCAATGAACTTGCAATGAAAATAGAATGAGAAACTTGACAACCAACCCGTAAACCCGATTAATCCAAAATTTTACTAAAAATCTCAATGAAGCATAGAACAACAACAACNTGAAAAATCCATTCTCCCCATACACACACTCCCCATGAAAAATCCATTACTTTTTTCCAGCTAAAAGTGTTGTAATGATGGAATCATCCATGCCATCTGCAAAAGGAAACATGTGACCGGCGCCCGTTAGCTCGTGATAGCGAACCCACGGAAGCTTACGGGCAATGTCCCGTTGCAATGTGACGGGGACAATTCGGTCCTCGTCACCATGCCATAAGTGGACAAACGGCCCTTCATCATCATTTTCCGAAAATGGCTTCTTTAAATCCGTTGGGTCGAAATCCCATGTCCCGAACATGAATGCTAGGTCTCGGTGGAGGGACTCAAACTCCCCTTGTTGTCTTACCTGTGCCTGGTCGTGCCAAATATTCGCAAGTTCTTCATTTATAGCAAATAAAAGACACTATATTTTTTCACAAATTAACCAGAGTTAATTATTAAAAAGAAAAAATGTATGGTTAGTTAGTGGAATTTTGAGTTTATATTAAAATAACATTTAAAATAAAATAATTAAAGTTGATGTGATGTAAAACTAGGAGATAAATTATTTGAAGTGATTGTCTCCTTCTTGTCATATTTCTTTTTTTGCAGCAAAGATATATAAATTTCACCATTATTTTTTTTTATCAACATGAAAAATTCGTGTCGAAAACACGCTTACTTGATACTCCTCCCGTATAGAGATAACCCTCGGAATTAATTCGGCATCTTGGCGGGAAAGTACTCTAGGGCTCTGAGCAATAAGGCTAAAACCGGGGAATAATTTCTGGGTATTCCACCAGTAGTTGAGCCCAGGCACATAATGGGCCACACGCATGGCCCATTGGTCCTCCAGTAGCTGCTGCTTATATGCTTCTCGGGTCACGCTTGAAGAGAGGCCTGGCCACCAGTAATTAATAGCCGGTGCTAGCAAAACTGCTCCCGCAAGCCTGTTGGGATGAAAATCGAGCACAAACATTTCGAATTTTAGCTTTTCAATAAAAATTATAATTTGTTGATTATCAGATACCAAATTTCACTTTTTCTTTTTTTAATTGTGCTTGCAAAGACAGAAGAAGAATAAGGATGTGTTTGGTAAAATTAGCTGATAGCTCATAACTAATTTTCGAGCTTATAGCTTAGGATTTATAGTTGAAAAGCTAGCTTATAAAATAAAAGTGTTAGGTGAAATTAGCTGATAAACTAGCTGAAATAAAAGTTCAACGAGCTTTTATTTGAAAAGCTACCAAAGAAGCTTATGACTTAAAATCGAGCTTTTCTAAAAAGCTCGTCCTACTTAAACGAAGCTTATTTGAATACAGAAAACTTATAAACTTACCAAATAAGCGATAATCTATCTTATTTGTCTACCAAACATAGCTTAAGTATTCTTCTAATAATTATACAACTACTTTTACAAAGCTGCTTATTCGACAAAACGCTCTCGTTTAGCTGTACTTCATTACTCATTTCCCAAATATTTTGCCAATTTTTCGATTCTCAACTACGAATCACGTGTTGTTATGTTACACAATATATATCACTTCAAAATTCAAAAGGCAGAAGCTACTGCAAGACACTCTC